TTAAAACTCGGCATTTAAAAAAATGCTTTTCTAACCAAAGTTGTTAAGAAAATAGACGCTCGTAAGCTGGTTTGATGATCTGTGCTAACTTAATTTTTTTTTTAATAATTAATATATTAAACTGACAGTAATTTTTTCCAATTTTTTAATCAATGAAAATTTATATGATAGCTATTCTTATTACAGCCAGTTAAATATATTTAAAAATAATTTAGGGTGTCAATATTTAGACTCCTGTCAATAATTAGGGCTTTCCTTATATCATATAAATTTATTTCACAAAAAATTAAAATTTTATTTTACAAATTTTTTAATAAAATTTTTTTTTTTAAATAAATAAAATAATTTATATAAAATTTAACAAAAAATTCCCCAATAAAAAATTTCTAAATATTTTAAATTATTTCTTCTTTATATTAATCTGAATCTGCTTTCTATTTTTTTATAAAAAAAAATATCAATTAAAATAAATTAATGCACTTTACTACTAATTTCTTTCAAATTGCTAACATTAAAAAAAAATAATAATTATTATTATTATTATTATAAATAAGACTTGGAATTTATAAGATATTAAAACCCCACTAATCATGCTTTAAATAATTGACTAACAAAAAAACAGCACCAATGCTCTTGACACATCAAGACGTGCTTTTCTACGGTGAAGGACACGGTAATAAAAACCCAACTGCATCCGGTAAGCTGTACATGTAACTGTAAATAATTAATAAGAAATAAAATAAAACAAACTGAAATTATATACTTGTATTTGATGTGCAATCTGTATTACTATCATTTATTTATTTCTATTAATTATTTTACAAAAAAAATTATTTTATTTTTTATTTAATTTTTTTTTTTTTGAAAAAACTATTATTATTTTACACAGTCTTCTACAAGTAATATAATTTCAATAATTGCTTCACATTATACGGTGACATTTTTATTGGAGCGGGCGAGTTGCCAAATTTTTTAACTCGTTCATAGTCGCTATTGGTGATGGATTTTATTCGCATTCTCATCCTCATTTTCATTGCTATTATTATTATCATCATCATCATCATTATTATTATAACTATTATTATTATAAAATAGAGTATCAATAATAAATCTGGTAAAATGTTTTCGATTTGTGGATACCTCAATTTATTCTGAGGATGACTGAATTAAATTAACAAAACTAAAATAAAATAAAATAAAATAAAATCTTTATCGGGAATGGAAAATGGGTTGCATAGGTATCCGCAGCGGTGAAGTGACACCAAGCAGTCCATCACGACCTCACAGTTCCATGAGCCAACAGAGCAACAGCAGCGTGGCCAGTAGTAACGTCAATCTACGTCCTCGCACATCAACAACTCCGCGACGTCCGCGACCCGCTTCTATTGCCGGAACTGGCGTTACTGTCACAGATCGACACAGTGAGCATGGCTTTTATAAAAAAAAAGAAAAAAAAAATATAAATCTATTACACTGTTTTTATAAATACATCACACGACAATTAAATATTTATTTCATTTATTTGTTAATTAAATTACATTTTTTTTTCTATTTATTTTTTGCTATTTAATTTTATTATAATTTTTGTTATTATTATTCGCTTCGAGCTATTGCACATGTAAATACAAATTAAGTCTGATTCCAAACAGGTGAATTTATTTTTTAGGGAATTTTAAAGCCAAAAATATTATTTTTCTTTTGAAAAATTCGAAAATTCTCTATTTCTAGAAAGATAGATAAGAAATTACCTTGTATCATGAGAACTATTGACATTTTTAGTGATATAAACTCATCCCGTTGTTATACTCATCAAGACCTTTCATTTGAGTACCCACATCAATTTTTCATATATTTATATTTATTATATATATGTAAATATGAAAAATATATAAAAATGCATGTGGGTACTCAAATGAAAGCTCTTAATGAGTGTAACATCGAGATGAGGTTATATCTTTAAAAACGTCAATAGTTAAAAAAGTACAGTGGAATTTAACAAATATCTTGTGAAATATTGACATTTTTAAAGATATAAGCTCATCCTGATGTTAGACTCATCGAGACCTTTCATTTGAGTACCCACACCAATTTTTCATATATTTTATATATTTATATATTTCACAAATACCATATATATAAAATATATAAAAAATGCCATGTGGGTACTCGTATGAAAGGTCTCGATGTGTGTAACATCGGGATGAGCTTATATCTTAAAAAATGTCAATAATGAAGAACTGACTTTGCTATCTTGTCAACTATTGACATTTTTTAAGATATAAGTTTACTCCGACCTTACACTCATCGAGACCTTTCATTTGAATACCCACATCAATTTTTCATATATTTATATATATTATATATATGTAAATATGAAAAATATATTAAAATGCATGTGAGTACTCGAATGAAAGCTCTCGATAAGTGTAACATCGGGATGAGCTTATATCTTAAAAAACGTCAATAGTTAAAAAAGTACAGTGGAATTTAGCAAAAGTCATTATTTAATAAACCAAAATTTTATTCATTTAGTCACATAATTACTGCAAGGTTCCCAGTATTATATTAATTATTTTAAATCAAAATAACTAATATGTGTGTCAAAAAAATACCTTCAATTTTTTTTTTTTAAATATTAAAAAAAATGTTATTTCTTTAATTTAATACCAAATTTTTCAAAAAAATTAATATTAAAATTCTAATTGTAATTATTATTCTTCACATTATTTAAAAAAATCTTTTTGGATTTAAAAAAAATATCAAGCCTGTTTAGAATCAGACCCGCAAAATAATAATTTTAATGAAAACCCAAAACTAAATAATCAATTAATAAAAAAAAATCTTTCAGATGTATCAGGTGAAGCAAAATCTAAAGATTCAAAGCCACCACTGCCAAAGGTCCACTCAACTCCAAAGAAACCGTCGTCATCTTCAACCCCACGTGCAAGTAGCACCGAGAAAGAAATAATAAAGAAGCCCGGTGACAGATTGATTAAGAGCGCTCGCGCGTCTCCTCGCATAACTCCGAAGGCAACACCGCTCCAGAGTCCTGGTGCTGAGCAACCACCTCTGTCTCTGATAAGACAAGACACTCAGGAGATAATAAAAATAAACGACAGTAAAGAAGAACAAGTTGTTCAACACGAGATCGCAGTGATTAAAACCGCTGAAGACAAACAGCCGGAGCTGGAGCTTCGGTCTGAGATGGAGCATGAGGAGAAGAAGGACATGGGAAATGAAAAATCCCAAGGTGTCACCGAGATGACAGGTAAAGTTATTGAAACAATCCCACAGCTGGAGCTCAGCCAGTCCAATTCTGTCAGTCCAGCCCAGAAAGCCGAGCCAGCTTCAAACGGAAACATTTCTCTCAAGGAAGAAAAGAAGAAAGATAACCACGAGCCCGCTGATAAAAAGTCCGCTGACGAGGGACTGGGTGAGGAAGCTGTTGACATGTCCGCTTCGATGATCGCCAAGATCCGTATCACCACTGAGGACGAAGCTAAGGCTGCGCTGGCTGAGCGCAGAAGACTGGCACGTGAACAGGCTGAGCGCGAGGCTGAACTCGAGCGTCAACGACTGGAAGAAGAGGCGAGACTTGAAGAGGAACGGTTGCGTGCTGAAGAAGAGGAACAGCGACGTCTAGAGGAGGAGGCTACTCGTCTCGCGAACGAAGCTCGTCTTGCTGAGGAACTCCGGCTTCAACAGGCCATCGAGGACGCTCAGAGGCGTGAAGAAGAGGAGCGTAAAAGGCGCGAGGAAGAAGCTCGTCAGAAGCTCGAGAAAGAAGAAGCTGATCGCAAAGCTCGCGAGGAAGCGGAAAAGTAATTGCTTTTTTGTAGTTTATGTCTTTCTTGGAATACATTTAAGGCTAATTTGATTTTTTTTTTTTTTTTTTTTAGACAAAGACTTGAAATGGTCGAGCGGCTTAAAAAAGAAGAGGAGGAGAGAATTGCGAGACGCAAACGAGTCGAAGCTATTATGAAACGAACACGTGGAGGGAATAATCAAGCTAACACTCCTACTAAGGTAATGATTTGTTTTTTGGATATTAAAACAGAGAATTTGAGAAAAAGTTGTTGTTATTTTTTTTAATTCTAAAAATAGTAAAAAATTTCATAAAAGTTTCGTATTTTGTTGTAATAAATACTTGAATTTTTGCGGAACTAAAATTGCATTGTATTTTCTTAAATATTGACATTTATAAAGATATAAGCTCATTCTGATGTTACATTCATCAAGAGCTTTCATTTGAGTACCCACATGCATTTTGATATATTTTTCATATATTAATATATATATAAATATATCAAATATATGAAAAATTGATGTGGGTACTCAAATGAAAGGTTTCAATGAGTGTAACATCAGTATGAGCTTATATCTTTAAAAATGTCAATAGTTCACAAGATACAAGGTAATTTCTTAATTATTGAAATTTTTTAAGATATAAGCCCATCCCGATGTTACGCTCATCGAGACCTTTCATTTGAGTACCCACATGGCATTTTTTTATATATTTTATATATATGGTATTTATGAAATATATAAATATATAAAATATATGAAAAATTGATGTGGGTACTCAAATGAAAGGTCTCGATGAGTGTAACATCAAGATGAGCTTATATCTTTAAAAATGTCAATAGTTCACAAGATACAAGGTCATTTCTTAATTATATATCTAGAGATAGAGTAATTTCAAATGCAGCCCAAATACTTACATAATAAATTAACTATGAGTGAGAATAATATGAAACCTTGAAAAGGCACAAATTCAAGTCAAGACCTTTGCAATGACACTAAATCCCATTAAAAAAACCGATTTATCATATAACTATCCTGAAGACAAATTTTTTTTTATTCTCTTAATAATATAGATGAAATTAGATACTATTTAATTTAATACCATTAATACAAACATATTCTATTACACAGGATGGAGATAAATCAAAGGACGACAGCCCTAACGAGGAAAACAAAGCAGTACCAGGCAACAAAGTTGACGACGTCATGACCGCGAGTCTTATCTCAGAGGCGACTCAGCAGTTTATCACCTCCGAGCAGCAAGATCATCGTTCTGGTAACAATAGCCCAACAGCTCCACCAGACAATATTGTGCGCAATGGCACACACAGCAATGGCATTAATAATTCAAACAACAAGACAGCGACGCTCTTAGAAAACAATCAGGGCAACGTCGAAGAATTAAACGGCCATCATACGAATAACCACGGCAATGGCATCAACTCCCAGATTACTCTCGACAATGCTACTGTGTAAGTATTTAATAGGACAAACAAATACCTCTCACAGATCATACTAAATACTAAATTATTTCTATTAAAAACATACAACAGTGTTATTATTATGCATTCTAAAATTATTAATTATTAATCATTATTATTACTACTTATCACAATTAATAATCTGTAAAAAAAAAATGTTGCCGCGTTTTTTTTTATTAACAAGTGTTTATTAACACACACTTATATTTTTTATTAATTATCAAACCGCTAACGAGTCAATCACTACTAAAATAATTTTTTGGCGATTTTGTATTAATTAAGCTATCAATTATTTTTAATTGCTAATATAATACTGGGTATATTATTGGAGTAATAAGTAATCAGTAAATTAAATATATGGCACTTTATTGCCGCGATAGTTCCTGCTCTATGCTAAGATTTCAATTTAAATTAATATTATTATTATTATTATTATTATTATTATTATTATTGCGCACAGGTTTTATTATTAATTATTAATTGAGCTTACACTTCACCGCTAAACTCACGGTTATTTGTATACATTTAATATTTATTATTGTGTTTATTGATTAAATGTAAGTTAGCATATAAATATTTATGATGATTAATCAAGCCAAATTTAGAAAAACTTTAAATAGCAGACTGATTTTTTTTTTTTTCATTT